GGATGGATGGATGGATGGATGGATGGATGGATGGATGGATGGATGGATGAATGGATGGAGATCAGAATCCATCACTACTCCCAGGTTTTGGACCTGATCACTGGTAATAACTGAAGCTGTGCATTGACTCAAGATCGCTCCTCTTTAGATCCAAACATAATGAGTTCAGTTCTGTTTCTGTTCAGCTGGAGAAAGTTATGGAACATCCAATTATTGACATTTATTTAAGTCAGTAATTCCTTAAAATTGATGAAAAAGTACTCGTTAATCTAGTAATCTGCCAGTGGAACAAGATATTTTGAAAAAATTAAATTAAATCGGTAATTGTCATGCAATCACTCGAGGTTAGTTTTAATTATTTTCTCAAAAAGTATTTATTATCATTCAGCTAACGAACAACAATGAACACACTTATTTGCAGCTCATTCCTATTAGATTTCAATCAGCCCCGTTTCCCACAGTGAACCACTTGATGCTCACATGTACATCAGCTAAAGGAAATGTAAATAATCCACTAAAATTGAAAGGAAGTCCATTAAAGCATAAACTCTGCACAAAGCAAATGAAAAATGCCTATGTACATAATAAAAATAACTTGCGACATAATCTCGGTTGGTCAGAGGGTCAAAGAAGTTCTGTAAGAACGACTTTTTTACCAAAGTTAAAACTCAGATGTATGGCTGTGCCTTCTACCATTTCCTGACATGAATCTGTTTTTAAAAGTCTTTTTGAAACTGATCCCACTCCTGCTGTGACAAAAACACTTAGAGAAAACCACACCACAGAGAGAATGCATATGAACATCATCTTGCTAAAAGTCTCCATCACAGGGTTATAATTTTCACAGTAAACCTACACAGTGACTTGTTCAGAGTATATTTTACACTTTAGGTGTAAAGTTTCCATCAAACTCTGTGATCATTTGGGTCAATATAATCTAAAAAAAAAAGGGCGGGTCCTTTCCAGACCTTGGAACTGTAATTACACTACACTATCAGTAATTTAAAAAAAAAAAGTAAATGTGTGTGAATAAAAACCTTGTAAAAGCATTTAGTGAGATTTAAATCTTACAGATAAAATTAAACTCTTCTGTAGCATTTTTATTAAACCATCTATGTTGTCCTCTGACATCCATACAGCCAGATATGTTACAGTCATCCGTCGCTCCGTCTGAGATGTTAAAGGTGGTCATCCCGGGACAGACCCAGAACCAGAAATTCAGAGTACAGTTGAAGCGCAGACCCATCAAGACGTAATCAGTCGATGCGTTCTTGACTTTCTCCTGGATCCATCTCTGATCATCCATGTTGGTGATGGTGACCAGGTCATGGTGGTGAGTTCTGCAGTGGTTTAAGGCTTTTGACCAGTTCATATTTTCTTTGACCAGGATCACTTTATCTGTTTCACGACACAAACATGAAATAACTAGTTTAATAGCAAGACATTGCTTATGTATTGATGATTTGAACAGACGTTTAAGCACATAGATAAATTTAGTGTGCCATGTTTCATCACAAAAATCACAGTGTCAGCAAATTTCCAAATTTATGCTAATGTTGAGGTATAATCTATTTGCCAAATCATAGTAAAAAAATGCTTTTATTTTTCCCACGCTTTTTGATGATGTTGAAGTTATTTCCTTATTCACAAAAATATCATATAGAACACCTTAAAGATATCAGATATCTGCAACATATAAATTAATCTTGTTTATATTAAGACATTTTCACATTAAAAACTCACCATCATAACAGATGAAGGGTTTTCTTTCATCACAGCTCTCATTCCTCCATCTGCCTCCATCATCAAACACAGTCATGGCACATTGACCACTGTTGATTCTCTGATTGTCAAACTTCAGATTCCAGTGTCTGAAGGAGAAACTGCTTCCATCTGACCACATCCAGGTGTCACTGAACAGACCGATAAATATGTATTTTGAATTTGCAGTCGCTAAATTTAACCCATTGTTCACTTCTCCATCCTGTAGCTGCTTCTTTCCACTGATCAGGTCTGTGTGATTCTGTCTGCAGTAACTCTGAGCTTCCATCCAGTTCTTTGAATCATAAATCAAGTGGTATTTCTGTGATGAATCATTTTCTGTGAAATAAAGAAATCAGAGCTCAAAACACTTTAATAAGTAAGTCATAATATAAACATTAATAAGAGGATCTAGATCAAAATAAAGGACTATTTTCTCACCACTATAGCAGATAAAATTATGCTTTTCATTACAGGATAAATCTCCCCACTTGAGAAAATGAGGGGAATCTTTCCATATAATCACACAGTTTTGGCCTTCAGATTCGAGATTATTTGGTTCATTTGTACTTGTTTCCCAGTTTGTCTCACTTTTATTGAACTCCACTCCAGGCAGAGACCAGTGCCATGATCTCTGTGCGTTTGTTTGATCATACAGACCAATCCAAGCTTCCCTCTGATCTCCAGCTGAGATGTTGATGAGTCTCTCCATGTCCTTCATGTTAGTCACTGTGGCCAGGTCAGTGTGATTCTCTCTGCAGTAATGCTGAGCTTCAGTCCAGGTCTTTTCTTCATTAATGTAGTGAAACTGATAGAGTTGACAGTCAATGAAGCAACACTGACCTAAGTACATTCAGAAACGTGTTGGAGTTGATGAAAAGTTTTAAAATACAGTGCACACAATAAACTACCATCTTTATAATATTTTCATCAAAAATATTTTAAGTTCTGGTTGTTTGTATTGGAATTACTTTTGCTAACGATGTTAACCATTTTACTTTGCTGAACCACTTACCTAACCAAATGAGCAACAGATTCCACTGCATGTCTGCTCTGTCAGACGGATGAGTTCTGCACTGTTGGAAATAAACATATAAAATAAACAATATACTATTTCAAAGGATAAGAAAAACAGAGTTTTTTTTTCCCCAGTATGATTTAATACCTGGCATATTTTCAAAAAATTTTTTAGAGTTTTTTAAAAATATATAAAACTGTATCTAAATCTTTTCTACAATTCTACAATTGTAGAAAGAGACTTCTACAGTTGTAAACAGATATTATACAGGCATATTATTAGGAAGCTCATAATCTAATTTTTTATCAAAGTATTTATGCAGATCTACTTACCTTACAGAATCAGCAACAGATGATCCACTGATTTTCTGCCAATGTCCTTTATATGTTTGTGCTGATAAAAAGCTATTTCCCTAAATGCTGCTATTTTAACTGCTTGTGACATATGTTATCACTTTTTCACATGGTGTGAAAGTTGTGAGAGTGTGAAGTAAACACATGAGTAAGGTCCACCCCTAATTAGTTTTGACCAATAAGCTTTTAACAGCTTTTCCATGTTTTCTATAACTGTTGGACAACATTTCCTTGAGTTTTTTCCCTGTTTTAAATTTACGCCATGCAGATCTAGGTTGTCTCTAACCACCTGCCATGTTGCTGCCTTCACTTATGACGCACATGGTAATGAAACATTAATCTCCATAAGGTTTGTACAATAAAGCTGAAAACATGTCAGCTAATTAAATGGTGAAAACAGAGTGAAAAATGTACATCTCTTCCTGGTATTACATTAAAATGAAGGTCTCTCCTAACCGTTGCCCCACTTGTACATCCTGGACAAGCGATGACCTTTGTGAGCTCGGGAACAACATTTGAATATTCAAACTTTAAAAGAATCTGATATGCTGATGTTCTACATCCTGGAATCCAACACAAAT